CTGATTTTGGTGACGCCTCCACAACCCTCGATTTGTCTGTACACTATACATCTTTTTACCCAGTATCTGTTGTATTTTTCCTTCAACCCAACGTGATGGCCCTGCATAGCTTCGAGCCCAAACTCGTGCACCGGATACAAATTTACTTTCTGACTTTTGGCGCTGAGCCGACGTTGGGAACATGGCCGCTAGTATTGTTCGTGGTTGGCGACCATGAAGTAGCTCTGCTGGCGACTTGCCAGAGACCGGATTAGGTGTGGTTCGAAAAGTGGTAAGATACTTGTACAAAGCACGCTCGGTCTGATGCTCTGTTTTCATTATTTTCACAAAAGCTTCTTTAAAAGTTCGCACGAACCTTTCTGCTAACCCATTTGAGGCAGGATGGAATGGTGCAGTTGTAAGATGTTGGATAGAGTTCCGTTTGCAGAATTGTTGAAACTCGTGCGAGGTAAATTGCGTTCCATTGTCCGTAACAATGGTGCACGGAAGCCCTTCGACGGAAATAATTTTCTGAAGAGCGGCTACGGTCGTTGTTGTAGTTGCTGCCGATAGCTCAATTACATAAGGAAACTTAGAATATGAATCCACAATAATCAACCACATGCGGTTATAAAATGGGCCTGCGAAGTCCAAATGTATTCGCTCCCATGGCTGTGTTGCTTCCGGCCATTTTGAAAATTCGCGTTTAGGCAACGATGCAGTCGATTGACATATAGAGCAGTTGTCATATATTTTTTCAATTTCTTTTTCGATCGTAGGAAACCAAACATACCGTCTAGCCATCTCTTTCATGCGGCTTTTGCCCCAGTGTCCGTCATGGAGCATCGTTAATACCCTGCCTTGAAGTTGTTTAGGTATGATAACTCGAGTGTAGTCGGTATGCAACAGTAGTACGCCATTCTGTACTGATAAGCACAGGTTTCGATTGAAGTATGGCAGAAGGCTTTTTGGAATCGCATGCTGAGGCCATCCGTCAAGCACATATTTGAGCACCAGCTTCAAAGTTTCATCCTCTTCAGTCATTTGTTTAATAACGTGATCCGTTATTGGAAAGCTATTGACAGCGGCTTCATAGTTTACATCGATGCTAAAAACACTATTTTCCCCTTTGTCAAATTCAGGGTCCTCACCACATGGCAATCTCGAGAGCGCATCTGCATTAGCGTTTTGAAAAGATTTCTTATATCGGATTGTATAGTTGTATGCTTGAAGTACAATAGCCCAACGTTGTATACGGTGTAATGCCATAACCGGTAGCCTTTTTGCGGGATTAAACAACGTTGTAAGTGCTTGATGATCAGTGAAAAGCTCGAATTTTCTCCCGTAGAGATATTGGTGGAATTTAGTTACGCCGTAGATAATGGCCAAAGCCTCTTTTTCCACCTGTGAATAATTTATCTGACTGCTGTTTAGTGTCTTCGATGCGTGTGCGATTGGCTTTTCCTCACCATTCTTGAAACGATGCGATAAGACCGCGCCAACACCCAGCTTGGATGCATCCACGGCGAGTATGATAGGTAGATTGTCGTCGTAATGAACTAGTCGAGTAGCTTCAACGATCGAGTTCTTAAGAGATTGGAAGGCACTCTCCTCTTCTTTTCCCCACTGAAATACAGAACTTTTTCTTCGCAGCCTATTTAACGGCGCTGCAATTGTTGAAAAACTATCAATAAATTTATTATAATAGTTTACTTTGCCAATAAATGCCTCTACTTCGGTCACGTTTTGTGGTCTAGGCATATTTTTGATCGCATCGACACGCTTTTCTGAAGGTTGGATACCCTTATCGTCTATAATGTGGCCCACGTATTCTATTTGCTTTTGTGCGAAACTACATTTATCTAATTTACATTGTAACCCGTGGTGCCGCAAGCGTTGAAAAACCATATTGACATTGGTTATGTGTTCGTCATCATTTTGACCTGACACAATTATATCGTCGAGGTAAACGGCGCAATGGGGAATATCAACGATTACTTCCTCCATAAATTTTTGAAATAACCCTGGGGCGCTTGAAATGCCAAATGGCATTCTTTGAAATTGAAACAACCCAAAAGGAGTCGTTATAACCATAAACTGTTTTGACGTTTCGGCCAGCTCTATTTGCAAATATGCTTCACTCAAGTCGATTTTTGTAAAGCACTGCCCTCCTTTTAGTTTATGAAAAAGTTCTTCGATACGTGGAATTGGGTATCGATCGATTTCAATTTGAGGATTAACACCCACTTTAAAATCTGCACAGATTCGGAGCTTCCCGTTTGGTTTTTTCACCACCACAATAGGTGCAGCCCATTCGCTTGTGCTTATTGGCTTTAGCACTTTGTTATTTACAAGTCGTTCTATTTCTGCACGTACGTCTGCATGTAATGCAAACGGCACATTATAAGGTCTATAAAATTTAGGTACTGCGTTAGGTTTCAACCTAATATTAGCTTTAAACGTTTTACAAGGACCCCCTGCTGAAGAGAATATATCAGCATACTGCTGGCTGCATTCCTTTAAAGAAGCTGATAAAGCATCGCGCGACGTGTGGCTTTGCATAGTTGAAATAGACTGAATTTTCTCGTTAGTATTTAGTTCGAATTTTAATGTTTCAAACCAATCTAGTCCTAGAATATTTGAAGCCTGGTGTGAATCTACCACGAGTAGCTGCATGTCTTTGGTGTC